GCGCTTCAAGAGCTGACCTGCGTCTGACCTCAAAGTGCACAAATGACCAACTTCAGCGTTGGCTGCGATTTTGAAGCTGAAATCGCGTTCGGTGTGAACGCACCATTAGATCTGCTAATGATAAACAGAAAGAAAAGAATTAGAGGAAGCTAACGCTAAACCGCTAAGACAGTTAGCGGTCAGTCGGTTAGTCTTCCAGTTGAAGACTAGTAGACTGACACAAACATCTGTAGCAAATCAGCCAATCCAAACCAGAGTTATAGCTCTAACTTTTGATACTTCCAGTTAAACCCTTTCAGAATAAAAGCATTATTTTGATCATGTTTCTTTTTTATACCATTTGAAGTTGGTCAAACAACAAATAGCAAATAGTTTCTCAACAATATTTTATACATTGTCTATTTTTGTATTCGTTATTTAAATATTCTTAAATGTTATTTATTTTTTGATGATCAGATGCTACATGCTACACACACAGTGCCTGACATGTCCTTAACTGCTCGTAAGATGAAGTATTAGTTTAATTTGGGATAAATGGCATGAAAATAGAAATTTTACACTTGTGAATTTTTTTAGTGTACTTAAAATTAGCGGAAGCCAATTTGCTAACTGATCCACTAATGGTTTCCAAAGCTAGCCCGCTAAGTGGGAAGCTTATTCTGTTTTTACGGGGTTAGAGGAACTGTGCCACTACTGAGAGGAGCCTTCCAGTCTGTTATCAGCTCACAATTCAAACTCCTGCCTCTCTGATGGTATGGGGGTGCATTAGTGCCTATGGCATGAGCAGCTTACACAACTGGAAAGGCGTCATAAATGCAGCAATATCTTTACAGTTTTACAAGAACATATGTTCCCATCCAGATATATTTTTAAAGGAAAAGCTTTTTTACACTATACATCTTATTTTGATTTGTGGCGGCTGTGGCAGAGTGTTTAGGGGAGTCTTCTGGAACCGGAAGGTCGCCGGCTCGATCKCCCGTCCAGCTGTCTCAGTTGTTGTGTCCTTGGGCAAGACACTTCACCCCTAAMYCCTCTGATGTGTGTCCCATCAGTGTATGAATGGCACTGATTAGTCTCCATAGATGATTGTATTGTAGAGACCTAACAGAGTGCTGTGTGAATGGGTAAATGAGGACACAGATTGTAGTGTGAAGWGCTTTGAGTGTCCTGGATGGATAGAAAAGTGCTATATAAGTACAGTCCATTTACCATTTTATTTTATCTTCCACCGTTGTCAGAYTTGGGATTCTATGATCAATCTGTTGACAGTCTTACCTGGTCGCCCCATGTCTTTATGCCAGTCAAGGAACTTGATGACATCCTGTGCGGTGTCTTTGTTAGCCCACCAGTAAGGGATGGCGGGCCACAGCTCTGGATGTCTGGCTGTGATCTGGGCGTCGTAGGACAGAATGACRTGGTAACCAGACGCCCACAGACTCCTCAGGCTCAAGTTTGGTTCCTGCTCAGGATGAAAGAGACACATTAGAGGCAGTGCTTGTCTTTTTTTTCACCTGCCAGAGGAGACCGCTCACCTTCCGGGGACACAGCTTTGAGCCGAACAACTTCTTCAAGCAGCAAACGAATGCTTCATGGTATCTGTCGTCTATTCCCTCAAAATGACTGCAGGCCAGGATCACGATCTCCTTTGGGTGAGAGTTCAGCCAGCTGACCACAGACACCAGAGTTTCCTGTTCAGGATGAACATTTATCATAAAAACTGTGAAGAAACCTGAAGCRAAGTGTTTAAAGAATCAAAATAAACTCACCAAAACGGTCAAATGTGTGTAAATGACYTGTGTAAAGTAGAGGTCACTGGATAAGTCGTTGGGTTTGTGAGCAACACGGAGATCAAAGTACCGTACGCCCATGGAAAGCTGCTCCTCGATGGTTTTATCCTAAATGCAACAGAGAGTGAACATCAAAATGCAAATAATATGAAGGAACACAAATATTTATTTTCCAGAGTGCCTTCTCCGAGTCAGGGGGGTCACCCTGTCTCAAGTGGAGGAGTTTAAGTATCTGGGGATCTTGTTCACGAATGGGGGAAGAACGGAGCGGGAG